CCTCAGTTCTAAATAATTAGGGATTTTCTAGAAAATTTTATACTTAGTATTTTGAGAAGTACTATATTTTAAATGCCCAAAAAATAAACTTGAACTAAAAAAATAGTGTTGTACTGTTGTAGGAGAATTAAAGACTCAAAATTCTCTTTTACACATTCCTTGATAATTTTGTTAAATTCTGAAATAGTATATTTTTATTCAATAAGGTTTTTGAAGCCTATCATTATTGCATTTTTTAAAATTTTGGAATGAATTTTTGTATGATTTAATTACTACAATGCAATTAATTATATGTCTTATTGGGTGAAATAAAAAGTTCTGAGGAGATATGGTGTGAGTGAAGCGAGTTTTTCTATTTGTTATAAGCTATATTTTGTTTGTTATAAGCCATATTCTGGTGGCTCTAAGTCATGTTCTGATGCTATAAGCATATTTTATTCTGATGATAGATATTGTGAGTTATAAGAAGGAAGCTTATGATTTATGGCTCTGAAATATAAAGTGCTTGTTATTATATAACTATGATTATTATTCTGTTCTATATAGTGATATTTTTATTACTTTTACTATTATGTTAAATGCTTAATAACTAAATGTTAGGACATTTAGATCGGTTTAAATATGGTTTGTTGAGCTGTGTTTGCTCACATATATTTTGCTTTATGTTTTCAAGGTCTGTGAAAGAGAAAGAGCTAGTCGAGTAATAGTTACGATCTAATCTAAGTCTATATAGGTATTTTTCTTTAAATTTTTGTTCAATCATGACCAACCATTTTATGCACTACTCTTTACTCTGGCATGTGGTCATATACTATATTATGTCTATTATTCATACATTTTAATAATAAGACAAAAAGAAATTTTATAAATAAGCTTATTTTCAGTATACTGGATGATGTTAGTAGTTATGCGATTTTTTTTTTTTTTAAAGTTTGATTTGGAAGAAAATTCTAAATATTTTTTAAAGCTTAGATCTTCTTGGGGTTTGCCTGTTGCAGGCTAACATGATAGGACCTATCTAGTCTGTGGATCTTATCGGATTGGATTATGATAGAATATAAAATATTTTGAAATATAAAATTTCTAATTCTTTATGCTGAATTTATTAAATACATGATATTAGTGGATCTAATAGTTTAATTAAGAGATAAAAATAATCAATTATTTTAAATTTAGATCTTCAGGTGTCACAGCTCATTAAAGTTAGGGCTAGAAGAAATGTTTTTGAAGTTGGGATAGGGTCTTCTCATGCCTGACATGGGCGACTAAGCCTCCCAAGTGCACTAGAAGAAAGGTCTCCGATGTATACAGTTAGTTGCCTTTGAACAAGTATAAATGCCAAATACAATTAATAATCCTTAATTTGGTGGAATGAAGTGCATATTGACCGGGGTGTATATAATTCCCAAGCTTTAATTTATAAAGCGTTTAATGATTTTAGCCCTATAGAATTCCTCACCATTTGAAGTGTGGTGAGGAGTAGGGGTGTCAATTTCGGGTCACGGGTCGGGTTCAGCTCGAATCCGAAATTGAAATGGCACTATTCGGATCAACCCGAATCAAACCCATTTTTGAAAAAGGTCGATTTTTCAGACCCGAACCCAACCCGCTTTGGGTCCGGGCCAACCCGACACGACCCGAATGAACCGAGGCTGTGAAAAAATTGTTAGTTTTATGGTCAAAAAACGGGTCAAACTCCGCTTTTCAGTTCAAAAATAGGTCGAAAACGGGTCAATCTCAGGTTTCCCGTTTCAAAAACGGGTTTTCGGGTAAAAACAGGCCACTTTCGGGTCAAAGGGTTAACCCGAATCCGACCCGATTTTTGAAACGCTATGTAGTAAATAATGCAGATTCATGAAATAAAGACACTATGTAGTAAATAATGCTCCCACTATTTGAGTGCATGAGTGACAATGCATAATTATTGTCCATATATAGTTCATTTGTGTCTTGAGGATCTTAACTTCTCAGTCAAGAACTCAAAGGGACATTTGAACCCCATTTTCTTTTATTATAACTAAAAGGAAATGTATGCTGGTCATTGCAAACTGCATTTAGGCATGTTAAGGTATAGTTTATGAGTGTAGAGAGCTCCAAAAATCTTAGCTAAGTATTGTAAATTATCATTAAATGAAGTATTATAAGCTAATATATCATCAAATTAGAAGACAAAATAACCACAAAACTTATTTTAATACATCATTCATGAGTCTCATAAACATGTTGGGTATGTTGCATAAGCAGAATGACATCACCTTCCACTCGTACGGTCCTTAGCGAATCTTGATTACTTGGCTCAATGCATAGTTAATGATAGTCACTTCCAAATGTTCTGGTATGCCTTCTAAGCATAGCACGGGGATTCAATATTTGATTATACTTTTGTTAATAGATCTTATATCCACACACATGTGCCAATTTCCATCTTTCATGAGCACGAGTAAGGCCAATACAACATTGAATTATGTTGAATTTAACTCACCCAGTGGTTAATTAGTTTGCATTCTTTGTAGAATTTGATGCATTTTTAGGCTTATTTTATAGCGTGAAAGGTTATATAAATTGGTATATGAAATAAAGTCAATTTGATGTTATATAGCTCGAAGGGGTGAAATCTCTTCTTAAAAATATGGCATTTATAAAAATATAATAATTTTTAGAAAAAAATTAGATCTTAATATTTTGATTTTTTTTATTCAAAATTTTTATCTATTTTAAAATGAATATAATAAAAACCTTTTGTTTATCTTAAAAAAAAACATAAAAAACCGTAATCATTGACATATATATATATATATATATATATCATATATGTTTAAGAATAATTTTAATATAATATTTATTAATTAAATTAGTTGGCAACTCACTCAATTCAATTTTATATGTACCAAAATCTTTTTTTACTTAGCTTTAAGGAAAGGGAATGTTGCCTTTTAAGGTATCACATGTCACTGTATAAGATAATATTTCTCAAAAGCAATACCATTTCATTGATACATTTACATGACATGATATAAAAAGAGGAGCTAATGTTTTATAAATGTTAAATGTATTTTATAATTAGAATAAATATAAAATCATAGGCCTCATTACATTAATTTTTTTATAATAATTTATTAGGAATTTAATATAAATGCTAGAATGTTAGCTTTTTCTTCAATAAAAAAAAATTTCACTATAATTTTTAAGATTTTTATTAATTAGATTATTTATCACCCACACAGTAAGAAAATACTAATAAAATTATTTGAAAGAGTAACTAATATTGTGTGGGCGATATAAAGATCAATATTGTGGAGTATTTTATTTATCACTATTGGTTAAAAATGAGTAGGCCTGTCAAGATCTTATTAGTAGAAATAATAGAGGCTCCACCTCTCTTGGATTTCAGAATGTTGTCGCTATATTATTATACTAAGAAAACAATATTTGCTAACTATATGTTGACATCTTTACTGTAGTAGGCCAACTTCTAACCTATTAGCGAGCTTCAAATAAACTCAACCCCAAATTACCGCTCATTAATCTTGTGGCCAATATTTATAAATATGACCTATTTATCAATTTGTGCGATGGTTAGGTCACAAAGAATGCTGGCCTTCCAATGACCCGATTATGAAAGTATATGTATTAGATTTGACATATATTAAGAAAGGTAGAGGTATACCTAAGAAGACTTGGTAAGGAAATTTTAGAAATGAACTTTCTGTATTAGATTTAGATGAGAATTTGACTCTTAACAAGTCACAATGGAGAAAAAAAGATTTGTGTAGCCAACCCCACATAATGGGATAAAGGCTTGCTGTTGTTATTATCTATTTCTACGATGCATCTATGGCATTAAGGCTTATTTAGATCATCTTGTAACAAAATTCAACCTAATTTTTTCATAATAAGCCAATTATATTTATAAACTTCACCAGACCTAGTAGACCAATAAAGAACCCTAGAGGGACTTATGTAACCAACATTTACTGAATTACTCATAACTCATTTAAATCCAAACATGGATGATCTAGGTGCTATTATGATTAGCTTGACTAATTTGTACTAACCCTAAGCCACTATTCATCACCTTAGCCAAACCAAGCCAAGCTAACCTATGCAAAACATAGGATCTATGAAGACATAAATAATAATTTAACCATTATACCTTTTAAAAAATGCAACTTATTTTCATGATTAATAAATTCTTTCGCCTATAACATACCATATACATGCCTTATGAGTAATGATAAATAAATTATATTACTTGCCTAATATTAGCTTAATTTATATTGCCTCATATATTTCTTGTCATGCATAATCAAACTTTCTCTATTTTACCGATAAAATTATGTCTCGTTTTTTTTTAAAATAATAAATGGCTAAATCTATATTTACATCAATATTATGATAACATAAATTTCAAAATATTTTATAATTTATTAATTTAAAATTGATGCCATTTGACACTTTGACTTGAATTATATAAACTTTGATAGAGTCCTTGAAGGGAACATAATATTATTTTTTAATTTATTATTAAATACTGAGCCTATTTAAATTATGCCTAAGCTTACACTAAGAGTGTTTGGTGTAGTTTAAGAAAAACGTGAACAAAAACTTACTTTTTTTACGTGCTTAAGAAAAACGTGCTAGTTACCCTTAAAAAATAACCGCGAGAGGTGCCAGGTGGCAAGCGCGCAAGCATATTCCCGGATCCCAAGGGTTGTCGCCAGGTCATCATACCGGGCCCGTGTTCGGGCCCCACAACCGTACGGTCAAAGCGGGGACCACCGCCCTTTGGTCCACCAGCTGGCTCGAGGACGAGCGGTGAAGATACATGGCAATTCCGTCATTTGACTCACCAGACTGTCGGTCGGGTAACCGCGCGGTTATAGTCACCTTTTACAGTGGGCCCCACGGGCTGCCAGCTCGGGTCGGGGCTTGTCGAAACGGTAGAGCGGCGACGGGTGTCGGTGGGCTTAACCTAACCCGACCTCCGTATAAATTGCCGGAAGGAGAGGAAGAAAGCCGGGGAGGAGAGAGAGCAAACAAGCCAGAGGGAGAGAGAGAGAGAGAGAGGGAAAAGGAAGAGGAAGGTGGCTCTGGGGCCTCAATAGCTGATGGGAGAATCGAGCGGCTCGGTGTCCATTGACGTGGAGAGAATCTCGTTTGGAGGGAAGGTTTGGGCCCCGTAAACCTCAAGCATTCTTCTTTGTATCTGATTTTCGCTCTCTGATTCGATCGAATTTGATTGTTTACTAATTTTCTTAAAGATTTAGCTGTGTTTTATTTGAGAAGAGATTGAGCTTTACAATGCTGGTTTGTTTCTTCCGATCTTGGTGATGGTTTGGATGAATTTTCAGGATTTTTTTTTTGGGGCGGGTTAGCAGCATGAGAATGTTCTGGCTTTCTAACTGTGAAGGAGTTCTTCATAATTTGATTCACAGATTAAGTTAAAAAGAATGTAATTGCTTTTCTGGTTTGGTGAAACTTAGCCTTTCTGCCCTGTAATGTTGTAGCTCGATGAATTTGTATAGGTTCTAGGCGTCGATTAGGAGATGTTATCATCTGAAACAAACGCTAGGTTTTGTTATGCTAAATTATTTCTGTGTCTTTTTGTGGTTTGCAGGAACACCTTATACAAACAAGATGTGGGTCTGTTTCAGTGTCCGTGTTTGGTGATCAGGAAAAACCTGCTCTTGTAACTTATCCTGATGTGGCTTTAAACTGTAAGTTGAAATTTTATACTTTATTTGCTTCAATGTATTCTTGATTTGTCCTCTTTTGTGTAGAAATAGAATTATTTGTGTTTTCTTGTAAACGTAAAAAGGAAACATATAAAGCTGCTTGAAAATTCAGAAATTACCGGAAAATACAATTTAGATAATCTATTGCATTACTTTGATGATTGCATACTACAGTTACTACTTGTCAACGACTTTCTGCTTCTTTTATAGTATTTTCTTATACTGGAAGCAAGAGTTTCATTTATTAAGTATAACTCATTCATTTATGTTTCAATTCCAATTAACTGTGTAAGAATTAAGTGATTGAAGAAGTTGCATTCATGCTCAATGATTTATTTAGGGAGCAATTTCAATGTTTATTTTTTTTTTTATGGTTTTTTACCAGATATGTCATGCTTTCAAGGATTGTTTTTTACTCCAGAGGCTGCTTCTTTGTTACTTCATAATTTTTGTATATATCATATCACCCCTCCTGGACATGAGGTCAGTCATTTAGTTTTACCTCCTTTAAGTTTTCATTCCAATGTTGTAATTTTTTGTTTTGCTCTAATTGGAACAACCTTCTCACATGAGTTTCCCCGCCTTCCTCAAGAGTTCCTACAGTTTGGAGCTGCTCCTATTTCTATGCACCTCCCAGTGCCTTCTGTTGATGAGTTGGCAGATCAAGTTGCGGATGTTCTTGATTTCTTTGGGTAATATTCTTTACTACCTGGATAATTATTCTTCTTTCCAAACCTTAATACTTCCATAATCACAAGGAGCAGAGATGATTCAACATTTTCTGAATACTTTGTTTATTAAAAATCTCTCTTTTAATCTAGGTTAGCAGCTGTGATGTGCATGGGTGTCACTGCTGGTGCTTACATCCTTACCCTTTTTGCTGTATGTTTTCTCATTAGTAAATGATTTTTAATAGCATTATAATAAATTTAGTTTTTTAACCCTTAAATCTTCTAATTAATGCAGTCAAGATATCAACACCGAGTTATCGGTCTGATGCTTATATCGCCATTATGTAAAGCTCCCTCCTGGACCGAATGGTTCTACAATAAGGTAAGATTTGAAATCCTCAATCCTCATCCACCAAAGAGATGGGATGTTTGAGTATTTAAAAACAAAAGAAGAAAATTATATTTTCAAAAAATTATTGTGATTGCTAATCTCTTACCATTATCTCTCAGGTGATGTCGAATTTGTTGTACTTCTATGGGATGTCCGGGCTGATTAAAGATTTTCTGCTTCAGAGATATTTCAGTAAGGTGAGATACTGCAATTTGCTTCAGCATGTGAATTATATTAACGATCATTTGTTTCATCTTCTTGGTGTTTCCTGCAGGAAGTTCGAGGAAATACACAAGAGCCTGAATCAGATATAGTCCAGGCCTGCAGAAGCGTTAGTTATTCAGTGAATCCTTTTTTTTTTCCTGTCTTGCTTCTGCAATTAGAGGCAAGCTTACTGATTTTCTTTGATTCCATTGCAGCTTCTAGATGAAAGACAAAGCTTGAACGTCTGGCGATTTCTTCAATCAATGAATGGGTATCACGTCCCCTATGATTTTTTATTTTACAATAGGAGATTTCAAGCAGCTCTTTCTGAACAAAGCTTCTTGCTATTTGAATAGGAGACGTGACTTGACTGAAGAGTTGAAGAAGCTTCACTGCAGGACATTGATATTTGTCGGTGACAGCTCTCCCTTCCACTCTGATGCTCTCCACTTGACCTCCAAGCTTGACAGGAGATACAGTGCCCTTGTTGAGGTATGAAGGATCTGTAACTTGGGATTAACTATGGATTAAACGTAATATAATAAATTACTATGTATAATCTTCCCTGCTCTATTATCCAATAGTTATATAGTTGAGCCTGGGATTCGATTCATTTCTTATACCAATAGGAAGAACTGTTGTGTGTGCCAAACAGTGATTGGATCAGATCTTAATCACTATGGATTGACCAATCCCTATGATCACTAATTAAGGTAACATTTCAGACAGAATCCAGAGGCCCAAATTAACCTGAACTCCATGTGGAGATCTCATAAAAATTGAGATTCAGGAGGTGGCTTGAGTTTTGCTTTTGTATTTCGATCTTTGCTTTCAGCTTGAAAAGTATTCTATTAAGGTTTTGTGGCAATTTTGCACTGTTTTGGGATTTGCTTTCCCAGCAGCAACTATAATTATATTTGATCACCTTTTTTCTTGCTGCTTTTAGAATTACTTTTGTTGAAAAACAGTTTTTAATAATCAGATCTGAGAGTTGTTCTCATAAGAAAAAAGATTTATAATCCCATAGCATTTTTCAAAGAAGTTATTTTCCTACAACAACTCTCTAATTATTTCTAGGAACAGCTCAAACGGATCTTAAAATTTCACTTGAAAGCAGTTCAGATGCAGCATTTTAAACAGGAAAAAAAAAAAAAGTCTGAAGCCCAAACCAATTTCACACCGTCCTGAAATGACTATGAAGGCTTCATTTGGGATGGCTTTTTAGTCACTTTAAGAAGCAGTAAAAAAGCCGTCCCAAGCGAAGCCGAAAAAGTAATGCATGGGACATGCGGCTTTTAAATTGCTAACTTGTTGTGAACTGGGGCTGACTTGCAGGTCCAAGTGTGTGGGTCACTGGTGACAGAGGAGCAGCCGCACGCCATGTTGATTCCCATGGAGTATTTCCTCATGGGATATGGGCTTTACCGGCCATGCCAGCTGAGCTTAAGCCCTCGGAGCCCTCTAAGCCCCTCCTGCATTTCGCCGGACCTCTACTCGCCGGAGAGCATGGGCGTGAAGCTGAAGCCGATCAAGACCAGAATTGCCTTGAAAGCTTGATGTGACTGGTAGGTGGCCTGTATCATTACATGCTTTGTCTGTATCTGATGAATCTAGTTGTTGGGTGGGGGTGTAGATAGATGAATACAAATAGTGTTAAGGGGGCAGTTCTTTCGTTTTGTTTTATTTTTCCATTCAATTGTCGCCCTCATAGTTCTTTTTCATTATAAAGAAAGGTTAATGTTCCTTTTTTATTTTATTTTTATCATATATGTGACTACATAATCATTATTGATAAAAAGACTGTGCTGCCGCCGGCATTCAATCATTATATGCTGTAGCTGGATTATTTATTGCCTTTATTATTATTTTTGTATGCTTATTGTTAACTATTTTGATCCTCATGAATTCACATCCTATTTTGGATTAATCTTTGACTGCATATGCGCGCAGTTCATTTTTATTATGTATTTCATATTTCATTTTGTGATCCATTAAGGATTGATGGCTCTATTGTTAGCCTATGAAGTATTTGCTAGTTTCGTGGTGAATCTGATTGTTTCGATCAATTATGTTGTATTGTTGTCTTGTACCTCAATTCAGTATGTCGAGCTTGTTGGGGGGTTTAAACCGTTTTGGGTTTTGGCTCCCGGCACTATAAACCCAAGCGTCTCAGCACTGTACACTTGAGCTCCTTGGTGTTGCGTATTTTTCTTGGAGAAAAGCAAAGAGTGGTAGCGCTACAGTGCTCTAGACTCTAGCACCACAACGTTTTAGGCAGACTGAAGACATCAAGTTGATCAACACGGTTCTCCAAACTGTCACTGCGGTGCTGCGAGACAAGTTGATAGTTTTCTTTGTTGTTTTTCATTAAGGGTGGTGTACTTTGGTGATTATAGTGTGGATCTCTTTGTGTATTCTAGTGTGAGAATCGTGCAAGAGATAATAAACACAGACAGAGCGAGAGAAGAGATATCTATACTCTTTCTCTCAAATTATCATAGTGAATTTCTTGATGTCATGTTACTTTGTGGTTTTTTTCTTCGTTTTAGATTTTTGCACGTTAAATACTTCTGGTTTTTTTTTCCACTGCAATTTTTTAATTTCTTGTTTGTTTCGCTGCTCGTTTCACTCTCCCCGAACAATTGGTATCAAAGCTATGTTATTCAATTCAAGTAGGAGTAACGATCGATGAAGCAAAATTTAAGATTGAGAAGTTCAATTGTTTGAATTTTGCATTATGGAGGATGCAAATTGAAAATTTATTGTACTAGAAGTTGTATTTACCGTTGACAGGAATCACCAATAAGTCGGATTTAATGATTATGGAGGAGTGGGAGGTGCTTGACTGCACACAACTAAGTTTGATTCAACTTGCATTTTCCTCTTTTGTTGTATTCAACATTGTAAATGAGAATACTACAGTCGACCTCATAATTGCACTTTACTAAAATGCATGGGAAGCTGTCGATCTCAAACAAAATGTTTTTGATGAAGATGTTAGACATTATTTTAATGGTAGAGCACTTGAATAATATGAACACTATGATGAGTCAAATTTGTTTCGTTGGAATCAAGTTTGATGATGAGGTGAGAGCGTTGTTGTTGTTATCTTCACTGCTAGATAGTTGAGATGGGTTGATTACTGCTGTGAGTAACTTTTTAGGGGGTTCAAAGTTGAACTTTAAAGACATTGTGAGGTTAGTGTTTAATGAACATGTTAGCAGAAAGTTAGTGTTTAATGAAGAGGTTCGCAGAAAGGTGAATGGTGAATTTTCAAATTCTGCTTTGAATGTTGAAGCAAAAGGAAGGGGTTTAGATAGAAAGAGGGAGATCAAATTTCAAGAGAAGACAATCTACTTTAGATAGAGCAAAAGTTGTGTCCTAGAACAGTGAAAAGAAGAGTTACTTGAAGGATTGTACTGTTCCAAAAAAGGTAATTGGTGGAGGCTATGACAAATATCACGCTACAAATTTATTTGCATATGAGTTTCAGTCAAATTTTTTTATTTTTTCTCTGTACAATATTGGATCTTGGTTTATAGATTCAGATGTTTTATTTCATGCAAGTTCTAACAAAAAAGTGTTCAAGAACTAAATAGAAGATGATATGGGCAAATTGTATTTGAGAGACAAGTAAGTCCTACAATATTATGGGATGGGGAGATGTTGATATCAAAATATCAGTTTTGTAAACTTGGAAACTCAAGGATTCTAGGTATGTTCTTTGTCTGAAGAGAAATTTAGTTTATATGAGAATCTTGTAAACTCAGTCAATATGATATCATTTACAGGAAATTCATGGAAGGTGACAACAGGGGCTATGGTTATAGCTCGTGGTAGCATTAAAGGCACATTGTATGTTATCAACAAAATATTAGATAATATCGGACTAACTAATTCATATGTTGATGGAGATCTTTGACATCAAAGATTTGGTCATATGCATAAGATTGATATGCATTCACTTCTTACTAGAGGAAAGCTTCATAGTTTAAAATATATAAATATAAATTTTTAAAAAGAGTATGTATATGACAAGCAAAAAAAGGCGAGCTTTTCAAAAATTGATTCAAAAGTAAAGTTAAAGAAGTTGGAGTTGGTGCATATTGATGTATGAGATTATACACCAATTTGTTCTATAGGAGAGTCATTGCATTTTATCACTTTTATTGATGATCATAACAAAAACATATGAATGTACTTCTTAAAACACAAGCCAAATGTATTTGATATTATCAAGAAGTGGAAGGCTTAAAGTTGAGAATGTGACATGTTTAAAGTTGAAATATCTCAGATCATATAATAGTGGCGAGTATCATGATAAGATGTTTAAAGAGTATTGTGTTTTGAATATGAACAGATATGAGTTCATTATTCCAAGAATATCACAACAAAATGATGTTGCAGAGCAAATGAATATAACTATCACTAAGTGTGCTAGGAGCAATTGAGGTTGCATGTAGATCTATCCAAACAGTTTTAGGCAGAGACATTGAATATTGATGTTTATTCAATCAATCGTGGTCCTTTGGTTTCTATAAATGAGAGGTTACCTTAAGAAGCCTAGAGTGATAATGAGGTAAGTTTATCTCACCTCAAAATTTTGGTTGTTAATTTATATTCATGTTGATGCAGGATCTATAAGTAAGCTTGATTTAAAATCTATCAAGTGTATATTTATTAGATATGATTAAGATGAATTTGGCTATAAAATTTAGAATTATTATAATCAGAAATTCATCAGGAGCAAGGATGTTAAATTAATGAAAATGAAATACACAAAGATAGAAATGAGGCTCATGTAGATTCTTCCAAATATGTTGACATAAAGAATGATGATAATCAAGAAGACAAAGATGAGGAAACATAGAGGGTTTCTCAGACACCTACTATGGAAGTTGGGAGATCCAGCAAAATCTCAAAGCTAGTACAAAGGCATTCTCCTTCCTTATACTATTTTTTGCTGACAGATGATGGTGAATCAGAGTGCTATGATGAGGCCATTCAAGTTAATTCAAAGAAGTGTGAGTAAGTTATGAATAAAAAGATGCATTCACTTAGGTTGAATCAGACTTAGGATTTGATATGCATTCACATGGCAATAAGGCACTGCATAATAAATGGGTTTACATGCTGAAAGAAGAACCTGATGATAGCAAGTACTATAAAGTCAAGCTTGTAGTTAAAGGTTTTCAACAAAGGAAAGGAGCATATTACGTTGTAATTTTTCTCTCCAGTGGTGAAGATAACTACACTCAGAGTTATGTTGAGCATAATAATAGTGGATAATTTGCTTATAGAGTAGATGGATATAGATAAAATATTTCTTCATGGTGACTTGGAAGAAGAGTTTTATGTGATGTAATATCAAGGATGTGTGGTCACAAGTAAAGAAGATCTGGTGTGTATGTTGAAAAAGAGCTTATATAGACTGAAGTAGACACCAAGAAAGTGGTATAAGAGCTTTGACTAGTTTATGTCAAATAATGACACATAAAGTGTCAGGTAGATCACTGTTATTTTTTTAAATATTTTGATAACGATTATATCATTCTGCTTTTATATGTGGATCCCATGTTGATTGTGGGGTCAGATGTGAAGATAATGTATCTAAATGAGCAATTATTAAAAGAGTTTGGAATGAAACATTTGGGTCCAGTAAAAATTTATTGGTATGAGAATTAGTAGGGATAGAAGTGTAGTTATATTTAAGTTGTCTCAAGCTGAGTATGTTGAAAAGGTGCTACAAGGTTTCAACATGAGTGAGGCAAAGTGTGGGTAGTCTTTTTTTTTTTTTGTTATATAAGAAACAATCGCCTAAATTTGAAGCAGATGAAGAACATATGAAGAGGACTCCATATACTTCAGAAGTTGGAAGTTTGATATATGCCATGATTGGTATGAGACTAGATATAAACATAGTGGGAGTAGTCTGTAGATTTACAAGTAACCCAAAAAAACTTTATTGGGAGACAATTAAGTGTATTCTCAAGGAGGATTAGTTGACAAAGCTCTTTGTTTTGGAGATATAGAGATTGATCTATAGGGAGGGATATGTAGATTCTAATCTTGCTGAAGATCTTGATGGTAGGAGAAGCACAACTGATTATATCTTCACTTTGGGAAAGACTGCAATGAGTTGGGTTTACAGAAAATTGTTGCGCTCTTAACTATAGAAGCTGAGTACAATAATATTACTAAGGCTAGCAAGGAGATGATATGATTGCAAAGTTTCTTGGCAGAACTTGGTAAAGAGCAAAGGAATGTGAAGTTGGATAGTGACAACATGAGTGCTATTCATCTAGCCAAGAATGCTGCATTTTATGCCAGGATGAAGCTCATCCAGCTTTTGTACCATTTCATCACATTGCTTCTGTAAGATGGTTAGTTATTTTTGGAGAAGATACACATAACACAAAATTCTACAGACATGCTGATAAAGACGGTGACAGTTGGTAAACTAAAGCTATGTAGCTTCAGTTCAGGGGCATAACTGTTCTTATTTTATGGGGGGGGGGGCAATTGCCCACACCTTAAATTTTTTTTTTTATGAAAGAGTGGCAATTAGGTAAGTTAACCCCCTAAATATCTTATCACCCCCCCCTTCCCCTTGCCCTAACAAGCCGAAATCACACTCAAAAACAGCGAAAGTAATTGCGCAAGACGGCGGGCGAGAGGGAAGGCTTCGCAGTTTGTAGTTGATTCGCACAAGACGACGAGAGGGAAGGGTTCGTTCCGACGTTCATGATTCGCGAGTGCCTCCGGTATCGGGAGATCTAGGTCAGTTTTGATTTTTGAGCACATTGATTGATTGTTGTGTTTGTTATTTTCGAACACATTACTGAAGTTCGCACATCATTTATAGGGATCCTG